TAATTCAGTCGGCCAGTTTGGGTTTGTTGCCCTGGCTTTCATTCCCCCAACTCCTGCACCTGGCTAACTCAAAACTGCTACAGACTTTAATCTCTGCACACCAGTGATGGCTGAAAACTCTAAAAAATGTCTTATCATTTTTGTTTCCACTAAATCAAGTGCTGTAGTCTTTGCAGAAATGCAGCTTTCCTGAACAGAAAACAGATTCTATGATTCTGTACCAGCGAAACCAGGACACCATACCTTAAGCTTTCCTTGCAAAGTAGCCCATGAAGAAATGTTAAATCCCATGGGGGAATAACTAAAAAGGTTACAGAAGTGACAGGACTCCATTGCAGCTCTCCAGGCTGAAACTGAAAATAGACATAATTGGAGTCATAAATAGACAAATATTAGTCTATTAGAAAATATTACTTTACTGAAGATTGTGTCTGACCCATCACAACCAATCAAGCTCTGCAATCTCTGCTACTTTTGGCATAAATGGAGGGCTGGTGGGAGACACCCTTGAAAATTCTGTCCTGGACTCAAAACTTCTATGATGTTGACAATGTTTTACTCACATTTTGAGGGGAAAGAATAACTACAATAAAAAAGTTCTCTTCTTTGAAGGCTTTTACAGAGTTCCCAACTATATGTCATTGAATGAAACCAAACTGTTGTAAAGTTCTAATGTCCAAACAATTTAGTAAATCTTAAATCCTTACAATTAGTAAAAAAAGTGAAACTTAAATACTGCATTAAAATACCATTGTGGCAGCCCTACACTAAATACATTTATTTGGAAAAAAGTGTCAGTATTTCAGACATAGGTAGTGGATTAGGTTGGTTAGTCGAAGAAACAATTCACAGGTGAAGTTAACTCCACAGGGAAGATGATGGCATTGATCCTCCAGTCCGATTCAACATAGATCACTCTACAGTGTAATTTGAAACTTTTTTGTATTCAAAACAGGGTGACTACCCAGCAGAATTGCGATCTGCCTCTTCTACCCTCACAGCAGAATATTTCATTGCACAAATCTACCTCAAATTTAACATAAGGATTATTTTTGGTTCGTTTTGTTTGTTTTTTCCTTTGGCTTATTTCTTTGGGGGGGAAGGAAGGGAAGATGGATGGTTTTGTTTGTTTTTCAACACATCAGATATATTCCAATGATTCTGTGCAACAGAACATTGGCTTCATCACCTTTTCTGGTATCAGTGTACTAATCCAGCAACCTGCTAACTGCTGAAACATAAGACACAGTGAAATTCCTAGCAAATAGCTATTTGCTTGCATTTGCAACTGGCAATAGTATTAGATATCAACAGCCAGAAAGAACAGAGATTTTTAAGCCTGTCTTTGTGTGCCTGTATTAGATACATTAACTACAGTAATGCCTAAGTAGTATCTACAAAAAATAAGGTTTATTTCAGTGCATGCTGAACATTAAAGTCACATATACATTAGCAAGTAGTGTAGACCAGCTGGAACAGATCTGTAGATAAAATGCTGGTGCCAAGGACCAGACAACTACACAATTCACATTTCATAGCTTCTATTTTCTGACTGGCTGGCTTTTTTTAATATGGAGTATCTCTAGAGAGGGTGTATTACACACCAAATTATTTCAGATTAAAAAGCTCAGCCTGCTCCTAATTATCACTGAGGAAGAATTGAGCTGGTGTACATTACTGTTCAGTTTCCAGCAGCAGAGAAAAAGGAAAGTGTCTTAAGCACTTCATACGCCAAGGATCTGTCCCTGTTGTGCCCATGACCTAACTGGTGTCTCAGCCACAGAACAGCGCAGTTCAGTGGATGAGTTACTGTAATCCTATTACAGCATATTGCTCTAACACTTTAATGTAGTAACATATTTAATGTAATGCAATAACATAGTAATACAGATTTCTGTAAAAGAGCTTGACATAAAATTAGCTGAGGCCAAACAAAACTAGCTATTCTTGCCTCTAAAACTGACTGGATTGTTTTCCCAAGCTCAACTGCTAAGGCTTTAAAGACCTGTGGAGGAAGAGGGACATTCTTCAGGGTTAAAGATACAGAAGAAGTATTTGCACAACACTCATTTTTCTATCAAGTGTACCCAGTTTTATTTTCCTTCCCCAAACAGGTGAACTTGCAAACACACTTCAGGTTCTAATCTCTTCAAATTACTGCAAGTTTTAACACTTTCTAAATAGCAAGCATTCAGCACACTGAACCAGGGTCTGGCAGTATATGTCTAACACTATTGACTATAAACAGCTATACAAGGAAACAATTATCAATTATTGCATTCAAGAATACAGTGGCTCTATTTTCAAATTAAGATGGCACTAGTCTAGCAATCTATTGCAGTAGTTATTACTCAGAGTAAGTGAAATGTGTAACACTATTTTGAGGCAATGATATCAATCCTCCAAATATTTCAAACTTGGTATTTATACCTAGCTCTCAAATAATTTTATAAGGAAGAACTAAAGTCAATTCAACTTGAGATCTGTTTGATAACACACATGTAACGTCTTGCTTTCTTCATCTGACTCCATGTTCACAATTACGTCTGATTTTACTGTATATATGGTGCATTTTACATTTACAAACCAAGACAGTTATATACTTGTTTTGAGTATAATGGAGAGGAAAAGTTTTGTTTAGAGCCAGGATTACATTTCTAGAACTGACCACTGGGGAGTAGTCTGCAAGCCAGAGGTTTCCACTGTCAGCTGTGCCTCATGTCTTGACATCCCAGGTACTCCTCTACACCACAGCCTGCGCTGCCACTTGAGTTTTTTTTTAATCATGTCAGGTCTTTATTCCTCTACACTATTCCATTAAATCTATAAATACCCCATTCTACACAGAATAACTACCTGCCACTGCCATCTATGCAAAAACCTATGTGTATACCATAGAAAAAAAAGTACATGTAAAAAATTAAGCATAACCACCTAGTCACTAGCAAATTGCTCTTATAGCGAAATCAAGTAAAAAGAAAGCTGCAGGTGAGTCAAGGGAATCTCAGACAAAACAAACCTGCTAAGCCTCCTTTATGAGGCTGCAGTGTTTACTCATGCCTGTGAGTCATCTCTAGGTAACAGCTGGGCTACAGCTTAGATACCCAGAAATTCACCCCCTTCTCCTTTCCCCCAAAACAGACACAAACTGGAACACAGGAGGTTCCACTTAAATTTGAGAAGAAACTTCTTCTCAGTGAGGGTAACCGAGCACTGGAACAGGCTGCCCAGAGAGGCTGTGGAGTCTCCTTCTCTGGAGACATGCAAAACCCACCTGTGTAACCTCATCTAGGTGTTCCTGCTCCAGCAGGGGGATTGGACTAGATGATCTTTTGAGGTCTCTTCCAATCCCTAACGTTCTGTGATTCTGTGAAAACATATTTGCAACAGACTAGAATTGGATATTCTTTTTACTACCAAAAAGACCCCAGCCAAACATGCAAGAACTGAGTTAAACATCAATGTCTGAAATGCTATAATTCTGAAACAGTTTGTTGCTACTGCTTGCCATAAAATCCAAGATCTAGACAACCTTCTCAGTTGCACATCTATGAAACAATAGTTCTAGATATATTAGAGAATAAATTATTATTTAAGCATATAACAGAAAACTAGAAGTCTGAAATTAAATTCTAATTCACAGTAACAGCATCTTGATAAGATTTTTTAAAGTTACTTGGAATTAAAGTCTAAGCAACACCTGCAGAGCTTAATTAGTCTTCAAATACATATGCACAGTAATGAGGCCAATATGAGTTTGAGAATCGAAATATATTCAGCACACTTCCATCAGTTCTGTTCAATGGTTCAAAGTGGCTGTACCTTTCAGTAATTATTCAAAAAAATCATTACAACTAGTCATGGTTTTTCACTGGAAAAATAATCTTTAAGATGTCTCTGTCCCACTATTTTTTTCGTCCTCTTTTTAAAATCTTCATGCAGTGTAAGGGTTTCCATTCTAGTTAGTCAGAGCCACGTCCACTGAGGCCAAGGAAGTGCAATTGTAAGACTCACATTTTGAATGAGTGGAGATTGTTCCAGGCTGTCTTGGGTCAACGATTCCATCCCTTCCTAGAAACAAGCTAGGAGAGCTGATGAACCTCCTGATTTCAGAAGAGACAGTTTTGACTGTAAAGACAATCTAGTACTACCTGCATTTTGGATACAAATTTAAACAAAGGACTTCTGAAATGGCAGACTTTCTCTGCCCAGCAGATCTGTGTCTTCATCCTAGAAAGGCTGACTACATACTGTATGTATCCATGGGCATTTCTGCACTAGGAGCAAAGACAAGCTGGAGAAGTTATGCTGGTTTCCGATTTCCCCATACCATACAGTTTTATATCCTAACATTAACTGCAAAACATCTAATTGGTAAGTTGACTTTTATAGCTATTGTAGGACACTAAATTTGACGAGTAATTCAGCTGCTGGTCTAAATTCCGATCTAGCTCTCCAGCTATTTAAAAAAGAAAAGACCATCCAACTCCAGTCTTTTAATGAATATGAAATTAATAAAATATTAAAAGTTGGATGACAGGAGTTTATACTTTATATAAACAGGTAAACTTAGTTTAAAATTTAGATGTCAGATTTTTAGTTTCCATGTAAGTAGATGCAAGTAGATGTCAAAGTTTGCACAAATAATAGTAATATACAACCACATACCATCTATGCATAGATGTTACATAAACGCTTACATTTATTCGAAAACAGATTTCCACCACTATATACTTGGTTACAAAAAGTTTTTATTTATTTTCCCAAACTAGTAAACATTGCAAAAATAAACCATTATTTAATATCCAGTTATTTTTATCATAACTTTCTTTTTTGAAACAGCACATATGAAAAAAAGCTTTCTATGGATGTTTTACAAAGGGTCAAACTCTGCATTTATTCTACAGTTGCAGGAAAATAAATTATCTCCAAAACAAGGGAATACAGCCTTGTCAGCCTGTTCTTCCTCACCTTAAACTGCAATGTACACTTATGGAAACTCAGTAAGGCCTGAACTGAGAAGGATGGCTGTCTGGAGGAGGTGGAGGAGGTGGCAGCAGAGGTAGAGGTGGTAAAAATGGGTATGATGAGTGATAAGTGTTTGGACCTGACCAGATCATATTCAGATTTGAAGGAGGAAGGTGGAATTGATGCACATCATTAACAGAACCAAAAACTGGAGGAGAAAAGGGATACTGTTGCATCATTGGAGTTTCTTCCCTATAAGGCTGTGGAAACACTGGAGGTTCCTGATGTATTGTGTTATCTGAAGAGTACAGCTGTGGTGGTCTTCCTTGTGGTCTCAAAAAACCTGGAGTGTCTGATGGAGTAGAAAACGAATTCCTGGAGAACCCTCTGCCACAGTATCCTCTTGAATAACTTGAAGCAGGCTGTTGCATTGACTGATGAAGTCCTTTATTCTCACCTTAGAAAAAACACAAAACAATCAACCAACCAAACAGAAAAGCACCCAAACAACACACACACACACACACAGAGCTTTAATATAATTTTGGAAAGATTAAGCTTAGTCTTCACAAATCATTCAAGCTGAAGTCAAATAAATTTGAAAAATAATCTTATCAATAAGTAACACTAGCAAATAACACATAAACAACAAAACAATACTGACAAGTTTCCTGTTCAGTAACTCACCTTGAGTTGAGTAATATAAAAAGGATGATCATGAGGGTTGCAAATTTAGTCATTAAAAAATAAACTTCACTTTCTTTTGCTCCAGGCATTTTAATTTGTATTAACAAATCACAGGAACACTCAAAATGTGATTATTTGGGAAACTTCGGTTTAAAACATGATTTAAAAACAACACATTTTAAAACTTAAGATCAATCAACACTGCATTATATTAAAGCAGCACAGACACAGGACATTTAAACTCAAATTAATAAAGTTAACTTATAGTATCAGTAAAAAGACAGCCTGTACCTAGTGCCAACTAGCTTTCAGCATTCATCTTTCAAATGTGCAGGTCACTGTAAACACGCATTTAAAGTTCATAACAAATGTACTGCACTTCATATGAATTCCATAAAAGTACTAATGGGCTAAGTGCTATAAAATGAAGAGCACTGAAATATTAAAAATGTTTCAAGGAGCTGATAAGATATTCAAAAGGCTGTAGAATTTAAACCAAGATATGATCTCTAAAGGATTTTAGGACTAGAAGCAAAAAGGTATTTAGGGACATAACATCACACAAAATCACTGAATTTTAAGAACCTATGTGAACCTAATCCTTGGCACTAGACTAGATAGAAACATTTTCACCTTCGAAAAGCTAAGTCTGGAAAGTAGCTGGATAACAAAATTCCTACTCATATTTTCATGAGGGATCAGGACTTAAGACTCTGGTGCATGTAGGCCTCTTGGAAGCACTGAAATTTAAGTACTTGAGTGAATACTTTTGTTCTTTCTTCTCCTATCAAAGACTATAACAATGAGACAATTTTAATATACTCAGAGTTTTATGAAGATGCAACCATGAAAACCTCTAGCTGGGATCGAGTTTGCACCTTAATTTGCCAGATATGCTTCTTGTATTCCATAGCCAAATTAAATTGCACACAACATTAATCTATACCATGTTATTTCCAGAAAAAACACAGCAAATCACAACCCATAATCCCCTGGCAGACTAAGACAGTTCCTCCTATTGTGTCCTCAGTTATGGAACATAGTACAGTAACAGTCTCAGTAAGTCCCAGGCAAAATCAGGTCTGCAATAAACTGTCAGAATAAGCATATGGTGGAAAACATGCCATATACTAAATAAGCAGAAACAAGGAGAGGAAATAACTATCAGCAATGAAGGGAAAGTATGACATGGTTCAGATCCATCCCTTAAGGGAGAACTGTCAAAACCATACAGCAAAAGCCAGTCCACAAAAGACTGAAACTTTATTTAAAGGGTACAAGGGAGGGATGTACTGTAAATAGAGTAAAATGGTTAACAGGATAATTACTGACTTCCCAGATCAAGAGAGAAGGGGTTCAGTGGGACGCAATGTCTATCACCTTTACAAAAAAAGAGCAACAAACTCTCAGGAGTCAGTCCAAGAAAACCAATGGGCGGAAGCACTGTGTTGCAGACAGTTGAAACAACCTGGGTAAGCAGCAGAAGATGAAAAGGGGTGGGGATGAGAGTCAGTAAGTAGTAAGTCAGTAGTCATAAAGGGAGTGTACAAAAACCATGCAACAGAAGCAGACCAGTGAGAACAGAGGAAGAGGGATGTGATTTAAATTATTCAACCTAAAAGCAAAAAGTTTCGTCAGTAGAGAGGCATGAGAGAAGACAGACATTAAAATCTGGTTACTGCAGAGTACAGCTGCAAGCACACACCTGGAACAGATCTGTCAACAGCAAGAGAAAGGAAGGTGAAGACGACTACGTATATTATGAAAAACTGTACATAGTTTATTAAACCACTATAAGTTTGTTTATCTAATGACTGTGCTAGGGAAACAGAGAGGTTTCTTACTGGGCTACACAGTTAACAGCTATTTTAAAGGAGGATTTATATACCATGGTTAAGGAAGAGCTTCCTTTTCAGATAAAGGAATAAATTCCCCATGCAAGACTTGTGTCTTCTCCCTCACTGTCAAAAAAATGGGTTTCCAAAAATTGCATGTTACCTTTACCTATGTTCTCCCTGTACTCAAAGGCTTAATCAGAACTTGGGCCCCAAAAACCCTTGCAATAAGAGGTCCAAACTCCAAAAGGTGGCATCTGTTCTACATCCTCACTGCCTGTCAGCTAACACTTAAGAGACTTTGAATATCCTCTGACAACTATCCTGCTTCTATAACACTTCCCTTACACAGTTTAATGAAAAAAACTTTCATTTTTCTTCTAAAAACATTAAGAATCATAGCAACAAATTCATGTATATAACTTTGAAAAGCACAGAAATACTGCTTAACTGTATGAAAGCTCAATCATTAAGATAGATATCATTGTGTATTTCAAACAAAGTTTAAAAGGATTCTCCCATCTCATAGGATTCACTTACTCGATACATTTGTTTCTGATTTGAGTTTCTTCCTTCCTTGATTTTGTGGCTTCTTTTTCTTCTGTTTTGCTTCTCTCTCTTTTTCATCATCACTGAAATCCAAGGCCTGATTAAAAAAAACATAAATAAAAGGAGAACAAAGCCATATAAAGACTGCAGAGAACTTCAGTTCTAGCAATAAATCATTATTTAGAAAACAATCCATCCTGCAGGCAGCTTAGAAGAATATTAAAGCTGCACTTTCCTATTCTGCATTCAAAGAGCCATCATGTGTTCAGCTGGGTTTTCAACACGATCAAGAACTGAAATTTCTCCTAAGACAATAATATAACACACAGTTATTCCTTCTAATCTTCCTAAAACCAGCAACATTCAAGTACTGAACACAGATTTTTTGCTTGCCCAGATGTTAGTAAGGAAAAAAAAGGGGGGGGGGAAATCACTGAGAGAGCTGGCTTGTTATTGCAGAGAAAAAGCTTTCAAAGGGCAAACTGCAGACTAGGCAAATTAAAAAAGTGATTTTTAAAATTAGTTAAAAATTAATTTTGCAACCAATACTTAATTCGGCACAGACAAAAATATCTCTAGTCTAAAATTGTTACTAAACTTGAATTTTCTGTAGCATATTTAATAACACTGTTCCTGTTAAACTTGAGTAGCAATGTTATTGCAAAGGAATTTACAGCTTTGGAGAACGCTGCCTTTTACAACAGATTCAATGACACTGCAACATTTTGTTCCTATTACACAAGGTTGTGCTACCTTTCAAGTCCTAGTTTACATTTAGAATGAGGAAAAGTTATTAGTGACAGGAAATAAATCTGTCAGCATAATTAGTTCCCTTCAAAACAGCTCGCTCATATGACTTAAAGGGTTTGTTCCCTTTCTCCCCTTCCCAATTTTGTATATACAGAGCATGGATCTCAAAAACATTGCACTAAAACAGTGATAAAAAAAGCTAAAAAGTCAATTCTGAACACTATTTCCTGTTCTACATAACTGGATTACATTCTTACTCAAAAAAGCCACAAGGAATATAACAAGACAATATATAGCATGAGGTAAAATCTTTCATTAACTCCTGCTTTTTCTAAGGACTTGAATATGCCATCCTCCAGTAGAGCAAAAGTGACAAACAACTGGTATCTTCTATTGTAGCTAATTTCCAGGTGACATTCCATAAAAGCCACCTCAAAGAGAAATCAGAATTATCTGCTCCTGCTGGCCTTACAGCATACAGATCACACTTTGTCATGCTCTGATCCCAAAGACAAGGCTGAGAGAGACCGTATTACTGAGTCTACAGTTAAACTGAGCTAATTAGGAGTCTGTCAGAAAAGGAACACTTACCGTATACCTTAAAGTAGCAACCATAAAAGGTCCAACACAGATTAATTTAACATTCATACAAAAACAAAGGTACACAATATCACAAAAAGAACTGACTACAGCAACCGCACTCAGTTCTGGGAGCTGGCAAGAAAAGTTACAGAATCAGCTGCCAGCTGAGGGCTCTAAAAGACTGGCTGTAAGAGACAATTTCAAGCATCAGTAGCATAAAATTTAATCTGCCCCCTTGTCAACAGCTATTACCATCACAGCAAAGGCTACTTTCTATCAGCTCATCAGCTATCAGTTTGGGTAACTTAGTGTAAACTGTAACTGCTAGAACTATCCAAAGATTATTCCAGTGAAGGACTACAAGATGTTAGGTGTGGTGTTTTCCTCAAAACAGAGCACACGGACATTCCACAGATTCAGAACACTAATGGAAACAAAGGTGTCATAAGAAGCAATCGAATTTGCCCAACCTTGCCATCACTGATTTAGTTCAAGCTTCCTTCCTTCTTATAATGAAGTACAGTAAATCTAAAGTTCCTCTGTAATTTCAGATTCTAACCTGAATGTATCAGTACCATAATTAAAACTTTAAAAAAAATTAAAAATACAACACAAAAAACCCCAAATCAGAACAAAAAACCCACACTTTTGAAAAAGCAATGAATCTATATCTGCAGATTAGCAGAATTAATTCTGCATTAAGCCGAATTTTACAGTTACTTAGGTTTCAACAAATTCAAATTACACATTTACAAGCTTACCTTCTGAACAGCTTTAAAAATATGATTAAGAAACAAAAAAAGAACTCACTATTAGCCAATAAGCACATTTTGTATCATCACCACTAGAAAATTCTTTGACAAAAGAAACTTGGCTAGTCTTAGCCTCTCCAGTATATGCAGTCTTTCAAAGCTCTGTGGATCACATACCTATTAAGTCCAATTCTATGCAACACTTCTAATTCTCAAATGGTAATTCTCTGTGAGATGATGTCTCCCCAAGAGAGGAGGGCAGTTTACAGTCAAAACTGACAAGTATTCTTTGAGAGAAGTTAACACTGCTCAGCTTAGTTCCATTTGTGGGAACAAAAAAGCTATTTCAAAATGCACCACACTCACCATTGTAGAAAAAGTAACATTCTGAATTGACAGACTGATATATCATTACAGTACCCATCTTCAAGCATAGAAAAGCCTCCATCATATCTCTCCTTCAAGCCAGAACAAATGGCAGGAGATAAGGACTGTGAATGCAAAAGTTGATACTGCTGGTCAAATCCAACAGGATAAGCAGTTTCATGGTGCACTATGTGAAGAACTGGCTAGAAGGCAGAGCTCAAAGGGTTGTATTCCTCTGGGTTCAATTTCAGGGCCAGTTCAGTTCAACATATTTATCAATGATCTGGATGCAGGAGTCGAATGCACCATTAGCAAGTTTGCTGATGATACTGAACTGGGAGGTGCTGTTAACTTGAGGGACAAGAGATCTTGTAGAGAGATCTAGATAGATTGGAGCATTGGGCAAAGATAAATGGGATGAAATGTAACAAGTCTAAATGCAGGATTCTGCATCTAGGATGGAGTAACACCAGTCACAAATATAAATTTTAAGTTGCTGGCAAACAGCCCTGCAGAAAGGGATCTGGGGGTGCTGGGCTCAATATGAATCAGAAGGCTGCCCTCGCAGCAAAGAGGGCAACCCGCATCCTGAGGTGCATCAAACACAGCATAGCTGGCTGGTCAATGGAGGTGATGATCCTGCTGTATTCAATGGTGGTGCACCCTTACCTGGAGTACTGTGTGCAGCTCTGGGCCCCACAGTTTAAGAAGGATGTGAAGATCCTTGAATGCATTCAGAGGAGGGCAACAAAACTGGTGAAAGGTAGAACTGGAAGGCACGTCCTATGAGGAGCAGCAGAGGACTTTGGTCTTGTCTATTGGCTTGGCCAAAAAGTTACTGCACTTTTTTCTGGGTAAATAAAAGGCAATTTTTTTGTGGGTAACAAAAACTATATTAAAGCATATAGTGTTCATTTTGTTCAATTACGTTTTGCCATCTTTCAGGCAACTTCATGATTGTGCACTCAAATAAGTACTTATCTTTTTTGGCAAAAAACAGTTTCAAGAACAAATCGATATCCTCAACAGCAGTGACAGTTCTACCATTCAAGGCGTTTCATAAAGAACAGTAGTCTGATGGTGCCAGGTCTGGCAAATACGGTGGGTGTGGTAACACATCCCATAAAAGCTGCAAAATGACCGAACTTGAATGTGTTTTTTCCATGATAATGCTAGACACAACACCTTTGCAATTCACCAATTCTGGATGTCTCTGTTTGACAGCATCATTTAATTTATCATTTAATTAATTTAATTAATCATTTAATCAATGGGGGGAAGTGTTGATCTGCTAGAAGGCAGAGAAGCCCTCCAAAGAGATTTGGACAGGATGAACCGATGGGCTGAGACCAATGGGATGAGGTTGAATATGGCCAAATGTCGGGTCCTGCACTTGGGAAACAACAACCCGGTGCAGCGCTACAGGCTTGGAGAGGAGTGGCTGGAAAGCTGCCTGGAGGAGAAGGACCTGGGGGTGTTGGTTGACAGTCGGCTTAACATGAGCCAGCACTGTGCCCACGTGGCCAGAAAAGCCAAAGGCATCTTGGCCTGTATTAAAAACAGTGCGACCAGCAGGTCCAGGGAGGTGATTATCCCTCTGTACTCGGCACTGGTGAGGCCACACCTCGAGTACTGTGTTCAGTTCTGGGCCCCTCACTATAAGAAGGATGTTGAGCTTCTGGAGCGTGTTCAGAGAAGAGCCACAAGGATGGTGAGGGGTCTGGAGAACAAGCCTTATGAGGAGTGGCTGAGGGAACTGGGGTTGTTTAGCCTGGAGAAGAGAAGGCTGAGGGGAGACCTCATCACCACCTACAACTACTATTTTGGTATGTTAAGATTATCGTCAATCTCTCACGTCATTAAACACCAATTGGAGTCAATCAATGCCTTTATTTTGTTGTTAACAACTTCAATTGGCCTTCCTGAGTGTGACAGATCTTTAAGACAAAAATATCCAGACTGAAATTTACCAAACCAATTCTGACACTGCCGTTGGTTTAAGGCATCTTCACCATACACAGCACACAAATTTCTATGAGCTCGCACAGTGTTTTTTCCTTTTCAGAAGTCATACAGCAAAATATGACGAAAATGTTCCTTTTGATTTTCCATTTTGAACTGAACACCAAATAAATATTAATGAAATCATGCACTTTCTTTTTTTAAAAGAAGCTTGACCTGTCAAGTCACATAATGAACGTGCAGCTTAAAACGAAGTTAGTTACACTTTAAGACATGTATGTCCATCTATTAAAAAAAAAACAACACCAAAAAGCTAAACAAAACCACAAAACAAGCCACAGTTACTTTTTGGCCAACCCAACAGTTTGAAGAAAAGGAGGCTGAGGGGGGACCTCACTGCTCTCTACAGCTTCCAGAGAAGTAGAAAGGCATGTGCTGATCTCTTCTCCCCAGTATCCAGTTACAAGATGCATGGGAATGGAGGTTTAGACTGGACATCAGGAAGCATTTCTTTACTGAGAGGGTGATCAAACATTTGGAACAGCCTTTCTAGAAGGGTAGTCAAATGCCCAAGCCTGTCAGTGTTTAAGAGGCATGTGGGCAATGTGCTTAACACATGCTTTAGCATTTGGTCAAGCAGTTGGACTAGATGATTGATGTAGGTTCCTTCCAACTGAAATACTCTATTCTAAAACTTTTTTAGAACACTAAAAAAAATAAAACCACAAAAAACCACCTTTCCTACTTAATTATAGAGTAAGAAGTACATACTACGTAACATAGAACTATGCTAGCAATGGAAGCTTTTGGAAGATTCAAAACAAGCAGATAGATCTCTTTAGGATACTACGGTAGACACAAGGCTTCTAGGAATTGCAGTTATTTTGGGTAAGATATGCTTAAAGTAGAAATTGCAAGGAAAAGTGACTCAAGTGTTGAACTAGAAAACAAATCTCATTAAAACACCTCAATAAAACTACAGCCTTGCGATTCTTAATGCAGATAATAGTTATAAAAAGTATACTCAGAGTGGAGTTAAGGAGCACTGGACAGGAAAACTGGATGTTAAAAAAAAAATCTTTACAGATCCTACAAATGATGCCAGTGGTTGTGAGGAGCTCTCACGTGATCCTATAGGCCTGCTCTTGAATGAAGGAAGCTCACCTCTCATGAAACTAGTGTTTTCTAACAGGAAACAGTAGGGACACCTTACTAAGAAGCCATACAAATAATGCAATGAAGGAGATGTCAAGTTAAGCTAACAGAAGCAGATAGCTTAAATATCTAAGTAGTACAGTTTGCAGAATACTAGCAGGCCTTTAAAGGCAAACAATTGTCTGCGGCAAGACAAAATACAAAGCTGCAGTGAAAAAACAGCAAGGACATAAATTCGCTAGCAGAAGCAAAACTGCCAGGCAAGGTAAAAGAACTGCTACTCAAAGCTGAATATTCAGGTTGTAAAACATGTTCTTGAAGGACTAGAGGATCTGAAGATAAAGATACACATTTTCCCAATTTCAAAAAGCAAGTAGAAAGATACAGCTAGTACTCTCTACACTGTGACGCGTCTCCAAGAAGAGCATGACCTTCTCAGTGAAGAGGTACATCCAACTCTTGTATGGGTAAACAAATTGGCTTGCTAATTAGTTACTCTGCAGAGAAATTTTTCTACATTTTCTTGTGTAATCAAAAATGTTAAACAAAAAAAAGGTTATAGTTACTTCAGGTGGTGGTTCTTGGTCATTCTTCCAAGATGCATCTGAACCTTTTTCCCTAAAGGAAAAAAACAAAAAACCCCACAAATTAGACACTCAAGATGAAGGAAGATGGTGTAAGGAGGCTATGAAACACCTCTTGTTTGAGTCACATAGTAGCAACATATTCCAAGTTAGAAATAATTTGCAAGAACTATACTGCAGCAAATAGGGTAACATTTTCTTCAAGGTGTAAGGTCTCCTACATCAGGAGGGGCCTGTTTTAAAAGAGGCATTTGTTTTTTAATGTTGTTTTTAAGTGCATAGTAATGTATGCAACAACTTAGGACTTCACTATATATGTCACATGAAAAATCTTCCTACTTTGAATGAAGACATTTCACACAGTTAGTATTAAGCTTTGATCAATATTCTCTTAACATATCCTTTTGAACCTAAATCACTTTGAACCTGAATTGAGGTAGTTCACTGCAACTTTCTTATGCTAACTGCTAACTTCACAAGCTTTCTTATTCTTTCGGTTTCAGAACACATAACTGCAGTTAAGAAGGACAATGAGCTAGTCCAGCACAACACAGGCTTTAAGCATAACTATAGCAAAGTAAATTCGGAACCAAAAAAAACTCCAAGCTTGGCTTACAATTCTACTAATACAGTATTAACTAGATTATTACGTTTCATCTTCTATTTTGTTGTAAATATAAAATTAAAAAGCCAGGTAAAAGACATTTAAGGAAGCAAAAATCCAAAAGGCAAAAAAATGAATTTGAAGTGGTATCATTTATTTCACTCACCACTTTAATAATTTCACTAAAAATCAAGTAATTTCTTTGATTAGCAACAAATTTGTGGAACAGATTTAAATTATGCTGTTAAAAGTCTGTGGAATGTTTTTCCGCACTTCCCGCAAATTTAGTATGTTTTGGTCTGAAATGTCAGGACATAATCCTTACCGATGCAGACGAGCTATATAAAATAACGCAATACTGAAAATTCTTACTTGCAAAATGGAACCATGTAGTTAAGAACATCAATGTGCTCAATGTGAAATGTCTTCAATCAGTGCTCTAATAACAAAGGGGTTTTTTACGTATTCATCAAGTCAGCAACAATCAAGCAGTAATAGCTGTATCAAAGCACATAACCCATCAGCCTGGGCTTAGAAACCCATAGTCAAAGACTGCCCATGAGAACACTGGCAAGTCTCCTAGAGGTACTTTGTGCCTCAACCCCTAATGATAAAACTGAAGCTCAATCTCTACACATCACTAGAAAACCATAAAGACACATCAAATCATACTACCAAGCAAGCCATTTTAAAGTTCAACTAGAAGAAAACATTACAGGAAGGAGAGGAAGATAAGGGCTCCATGTGAGTAATTTCTCAGCTGCAGAAAACTATCTACCTATGCAGTGATGAAAAGTAGTTTTTAAAAAAAAAGTTGTGAACCAACTTCTTTGTTTCTCCCTCTCATATTGCTATTATGGGGCAATACATGCCTGTCAGAAATACCAGAGGATGTAAGAAACTCCCCATTAGGCAATATGTGCCTAATACTACTTAGTGCAAAATTTAAACCTTGTAAGTTCTTTAGGCAGCTTATCTCACTCTCCCAAGGCAGCTTTCCCCATTTCAGCGAAACACAAAACACTTTTCATGCTGAGATATGTCATAGTTTTCTGCAAATAATCTTCTGCATAATCTTTGATTTCTGAACTTGGATACTGCAAGATATGGAAGTCTAACAAAAGGTTACTCAGAGGAACCATGAAAATACATAAGCTCCTTTAGAATTACTTTGTCTTTCAGGCAATACAACATAAATCTATTTTTAGCAACAAATTATTTGGCATTCAAGAAGTTTTACACACTTTCATTTATTCTGCTATAAAGTATAAGGCTTATTCATAGCACTGGAACTTTGTACAATGCAAGCAGATTGTATGTCAGATTTCAGAAAAAGCCTCAAACTTAGAGGTTTCTTCAGATCTTCATCCTCTTCAAAGTACCATCACAGTTTAAAGTACTTTAAGCATATAATACTCCACAAACTGGCCTGCACATAGTAAAACTAACAAATAGCAGAAAATAAAAATAAATGGTCATCACATATGCAATCTGCTAAGGTTCAAAATCTTTTCTGTGTTTCTTTACATAAGCATTGCAGAAAAGATCTGAAATCTAAATTCTTTATCCTTTTTCAATGACACCTTATCTATGAAAAAGCAGCTTCAACAAATAGCGCCATTTGCCTCACAGAATCTTACGAAACTTTATTGACAAAACTCAAATAAAATATTGTTTCAGTGAAATGTAAATAAAGTTACATTGTTCAGAAATTAAAGTCATATTACAAAAGTGTTCACACTGCTCATTTTAATGCAGGGCAACAATGTCTGATGCACTGTTCAGCTGAGGTGGTAAGTCATGAAAGTGTGAAACACCTTATCCGGTGTTCAATTTGGTACCATATATGATAGTAAAGTACTACCAGAAGACAAATCCTTCCCAAAACTACTTGCAAAGCATGTAACAAACTAAAACATGAGACTCATGTCTCTGACACTAAGTACAGCCCACAGTTATTGATGTGGCAAGCAGATGACCATCCTGGTCACAGGCTGCAGGGAGTGCCAGAGCTTGTCACTGGTAATGGGTGGCAGCTGAGAACTGTTGTGTGCATTGTGAACAGATCGGCAATCTGCCCAGCCTGGTGGCAGAGCTGCGAGAGGTTACTAAAGAAACCTGTTAGTCCTACAGTTCTCACTCAAGGCTAAACTTTAATCCAGTATTTTTAGCTATATTAAAAAAATACATTATAAACAGATTAGAAAAGATATCAGACTCACTGTTTTAGTTTCTCTGTGAATATATACTGGGTGAAGTCCTCCACGGATGGAATAAAATACATGCTATCTTGCACATTAATACCTTTGGCTTTGATATGCTCAGAGCTGTTAAATCTTAACACATAAAAGGGATGTAAAACAGGACCAAATATCTCAAATATCTGAAACACAATCAAAAGTAAAATGTTTAAATAAACCATCAAGAGTAGATAGCCAATTTCATTGTAGACAACTGTGAAGCTCTAAGATGCTTAGTATTTAAGAAGTTTGGTATATTTTAAAAATTCAGCATCAAATAAAGTTACTTCCACGCTTTAGTTTTTGTTACTGCATTTTGCCTGCCAGTATAGTTCCCCAGCAACTGTTTAGGTCATAACATGGAAAAATAATTTCTCGGACGTGTTGATGTTGCCTTCACCCACCCAACTGCACTGCTTTCACTGTCTGCTTCCTCTGCTTGAGTAATGTTTCCTTTTGTCAACTCTATTCTTCTTCCATTATGCTTTCAAATCTCATACACCTAGAACAATCTCCTGATCATTTATTCCTCAAAGTTCATCTTTACAAGACACCTTCATGTAAATTCCCCTGTCCTCCAATTCCATGGAGAGCAGAGAATTCTGAGATGTTGTACAGAACATCTATTTCAGGCTGAGTTTTTTTGTTTCACTCACATAAAGCATTCAAAGATATTATAATAGCAACCATTCTAGATGATGGCTTCCCTTCCCCAGAAAACATGCATAAATTCCATGCAACATCCCTCTCAGCAAACATTCTTCATTATATTTGCATAAGCACAAACTGGCCTTAAGCTGTAAGAGTGTAGATATGTATGCATTCCCCAGTTTTCCTGAAACTTGACTCTTAATTTCTCCTGGCAATAGAAGAGCACAGCCTGTTATTCAACACATCATAGATCTGAAATCAACCTCTGTCTCTCCACAAGCACTCTTATAAAATAGTGGGAACTTATCATACATCGTAATTCTGTAAGGGTGCAATGGATTCCAGGATAGAAATTACTGAGATTAAAAAAAGTAGATCACAAAAGCAAGAGCGAAAAGCATAAAGGAAAACTACTTATTAAGGAAACATTATCTTTCATTTAGTGAACTTCAACACTACTTGTTGGAATATAAAAGAATACTTTGAACTTTATATTAGAATAACAGGTCCTTATACTTTACACACCCACCTTCCCTACTGCTTGCCGATCTTCTTTAAAAATTATGCTTTCCTCATTTACTGGAGGTAGGCCTCTCAGTGATTCAATAATTACTAAAATGGAAAAAAAAATAAAGTTCTAATTGATGTTTCAACAATAGCATGTAGTTAATTGCAGAGAAACTTAAAAAAATCCACACTATTATTTGTCTACTAATGTTCACTAAGCTTCATCTGAAAATTCTTGCACACACACAAAATTACTTACAATCATACAACCCTTCTCCAATGATATACACATGGTAATATTTACATTTGTTTACAGAATTACTGTTCTCTGGGGTGAAGAAAAGAGACCAAATGATGGGTACAAAAGAGAAGTCTCAGATATGCATGTGCGAGATACCTATTGTATTTACCCAGGATGCTTCTTAATTAAGTGCATAGCAGCAATAACCTGATTTTTGAGTACAGATGCACATGTATATTCTGCCTTCTTAGTATCCCAACTAAAATTCACCTTGGAAAAAAGAATGAAGATGGTTATTCATTATAGATTCCCCTAGGAAGCTGTAAGAATCGGACCAGAACACAAAAGATGTCTGGCAGCCCAGTCACAGTAGTAACTGGTGGTGTCATTTATGTATGCAAATATACAATTCAAAATACATTTCTGCAATTTAGTATCATATAATAGCCTCCTAATACCTTTGGGCTTAATCCATGATTAACAATGGTACGAGTGATCAGAGCCAGCAAGTCATTTTAGTAGCTCAAAATATGAAATCTCAACACTTACAAATAGACACAAAAAGATGTTTTTCCAACATTAATTTGTAATAAATAATATAATAATAATAACAACAACAACAACAATAATAATAACAGCAATAATAACAACAATAATAATATATAGGCTACTTCATTTTTAGGTTTTCCAGATTTGGAGATAATAATGAGCTTATTCTTTACTGGAATCTTCAGAGTAGTTCTCTCTCCATTGGCAGCAGTTAACATTTGTTGCTTTCGTCTACAGAAACACTGGGTCTTCCTTTACATTCAGAAGGAGTCATGCTTAAAGCTATCAACATAGAGGCCTGGCAGCTTTACACTGAAAAATTCTGAAGGTAATATTTTCTAATTCTAAAACAACAGCACGCTCAATTAAGCATTTTCAATGTCTCTCCATCAGCAAATAAAGTCACTCAAGCACTTAGTGTCACTCAGACTCCAACAAAAATTAACACGATTATCACTGCTGAACTTACATGACAGGACTTAAAGCAATAAACATCTCATCAAGCTTTGCTACTTAAGCTTTGCTACTATTTCAACCTGCAAATACCTTGTGACATGCCAAGCAAGCCTTTGACAATGCTACAGGCTTAAGAGTTCACTGAATTTCAAGAGAATTAAGAAATCTGTTGATTTCATGTCTACCTATAAGACGAAATATGTAGCAAGAGAACCATATCTGTTGCTTAATCCCTGTGAGAAAAATAAAAAAAAACACAAAAAAAACCAAAAAAACCCACAACAAAATCTACACACCAAAAACTCTCAGAGAATGCTCTCAGATTGATTTATTACACATAGCCCACAGTCTTCTAGTAGGCTAAGGAATAAGTAGTCGCATGAAACCCAGGAGAAACATGGGTTTCACCTACAGCATTATTGACTTACAGCTTCCCCTACCCCAAACCACCCAAACTCCTCAACTTCTGCTCTTCCAGGGCTTGAAGTGCAGTCTCATGACAGGTTTCTCACATACCCCAAAGCTGTTTACTTTCTAGGCTATGACCCAGACGGTGAATTTTTCTCTTCTAAGTAGCTTGAAGAAAAACATGGCAAAGTTCTCTTAAATTCTGACACACTGAGCAGAAGTTCACAGAAAGTATGACATCATACTTTTAGCTAGTGTGAAACAAGCATGAACCTATACTGCTCTAGCATTAAATACACCTCATAGTATGAAATACCCAACTTACAGCTGCACACACTGTAGACTGACAGAAAGCTGAGGTACTCAAAGATTTTTTCACCTCAGTCTTCACTGACAAGGGCTCTAGCCACACTGCTCAAGTCACAGAAGGCAAACACAGGGACTGGGAGAAAGAAGATCTACCCAATATAGGAGAAGAGCAGGTTCGAGACCATCTAAAGAACCTGAAGGTGCACAAGTCCATGGGACTCGACAACATCCATCCGCAGGCCCTGAGAGAACTGGATGAAGTTGTCAAACCACCTTCCATCATATTTGAAATGTCACAGCAGTCTGGTGAAATTCCTACTCATCAGAAAAGTGAAAATATAACCCCCATTTTTAAAACAGAAAAAAAAAAAGAAGACTTAGGGAACTACAAGCCAGTCAGTCTCACACCTGCGCGTGGCAAGATCGAGTAGATCCTCCTGAAGGCTCTCCTAAGGCACATCAAAAATGAGGAGACAATTGGTGGCAACCAACATGGCTTCAAAAAGGACAAATCATTCCTGACAGATTTGGTGGCCTTTTACAATGGGACTGGAGCATCAGTGGGTAAGGGAAGAGCAACTGACGTGATCTACATGGACTTGTGCAAAGCGTTCGACACTGCCCTGCACAACATCCTGGTCTCTCAATTGAGGAGACAAAGATTCAATGGACGGACCACATGGTGGGTAAGGAATTGGCTACATGGTCCCACTCAAAGTGTTGTGGTCAATGTCTCAATGTCCAAATGGAGACCAGTGATGAGTGATATTCCTCAGGGATTGGTATTGAGACCGGTGCTGTTTAACATCTTTGTCGGCAACATGGACGGTGGGATTGAGTGCACTCTCAGCAAGTCTGCAGATGACACCAAACTATGCTGTGTGGTCAATACACTGGAAGGAACGGATGCCATCCAGAGGGACCTAGGCAAGCTGGAGAGGTAGGCCTATGCAAACCTCAAGAAGCTGAACAAGCCCAAGTGCAAGGTCCCGCTCCTGGGAATAGGCAGTCCCAAGCACAAATACAGGCTGGGCAGAGAATGGATTGAAAGTAGTCCTGAGGAGAAGGAACAGGTGGTGTTGGATGACGAAAAACTCAACATGAGCTGGTAATTTGGGCCTGCAGCCCAGAAGGCTAACCATATCCTGGGTTGCATCAAAAGAAGTGTGGCCATCAGGTCAAGGGAGGTGATTCTGCTCCTCTACTCTGCTCTCCTTAGGCCCCACCTTAAGTACTGTACCCAGATGTGGCATCTCCAGCAAAAAAAGGACATGGAACTGTTGAAGTGAGTCTAGAGGAGGGCCACAAAAATGATCAGAGGGACAGAGCACCTCTCCTTCGAAGACAGGCTGAGAGAGTTGGGGTTGTTCAGCCTTGAGAAGATAAGGCTTCAAGAGATCCTACAGTGGCCTTACAGTACCTGAAGAGGGTCTACAAGAAAGCTGAGGGGACTTTTTACAAAGGCAGGTAGCAATAGGACAAGGGAATGGCTTTAAACTGGAAGAGGGTACATTTAGATTAGACATTAGGAAGAAATTCTTCACTATGAGGGTGGTGAGACACTGGTGCTCAGGTAAGTTGCAGATGCTCCCTCCCTGGGAGTGTTCAAGGTCAGGCTGGATGGGGCCCTGAGCAACCTGATCTAGTGGGAGGTGTCTCTGCCCATGGTAGGGGGTGTTGGAACTAGATTGATCTTTAAGGTCCCTTCCAACCCGAACCATTCTATGACTCTATGACTCTATAGCAAACTATGATTCAACCATTTCTCTTTTAACTTATTTTCAAACTATCATTTTAGCTGAACAAAGCCTTCTTGAAGTCCCCATTATTATCAATAAGCAACAAAGGGCAAAGCAGAACAAAAGCACAATGACCAGATTACTACCTTTCACACTTCCCGCATATGAATGAGATCATATCTAACTCCAAACCAACACCAACAACAACACTGTAAAAGAATTACCTATATTACCTGGAGTCTTTTACAATAAAAGAAAATGTAACAAGAAATGCTATTTGCTTTAATTCTTTTGCACCTCAACATAAATACTTCAACTTCACAGTTGAATTTAGTTTCTAACTTTCATAAGCAAATTGCTTCAAAAGAATTCAGACAGAATGGAACACTTGAAATAAACTCAAATACAAACATACCAGAGATGTCTTATTACTATCAGTTTCAGAAAACTTTCATTTCATACATCAAAACTGAGGTCCTAGCTAGATCTGAAACAATCGCTAAATGCCTATCATCTGCAGTTTAGCTTACATCCATGTATGTCTCAATCATATTAAGCTTACCCTCCAGCACCTATAAATCATGTTAGTCATGCTGTCCTATGACTGCTGACTCTGAAGACTTGCATTTATTTGGTCAAGGTGTCAGAAATTGGACAAAAACAAAGCAAAACAAAACAAACAAAACAAAAAACAAACACCAAACCAAACAAAAAACCAAGTCTTCTTCCCATCTTGGTATTTTAACAAACAAGCATTTGGGACTGCTGTGTACTGCATCTATGTTTTCCATTATAAATCTACAGTATCTTCAGAGATAATTCAAATATAGCATGTACAAATGGAAGATTTTCTTAAAATACTGCAAATGTTCATTCTTACTGTTGCCAGAATTAACATAAAGATCATAATACAGAATTAGTATAAAGATCATCATAATAATTTAATAATAAAGGCTTTTTTATTAAAAATGTAGAACATTAAAGTCACACAGGAACACATGCAAAATAACCATCATATCCTGATCTTTAGAAGATGTAAGCCAACTAAAAGTGAATTCAATGAACATGTAATTTAGTAGTCTAAGTTCTCATTCAGTATCCTGCTACCCCTGAAATAGAATTCTGCAATGCTGACACTTTGAGGAAACATTAAAGTACACAATTAATGCAGAGATATACAGAAATTATTTTCATTAAAAACAAAGCAAACTTATCTTGCCTACCTAGCTGCTCAATGATGCTGGAAACTGTCCCAAAGAGCTTCAGTTCAACATCATCAGGCAGAATTATTGTTAAGTCTTCAACAGGAGGCAGCTCCTGAAAATACCAAGTCAACGTTCAGAATGTAATTTCATCACACTAAGACATTCATCACTTTGTTGATGCATAAATTTTACAACCAGAAAAACCTCCTAGCATTTTGATGCTTTAATAAAAAAGTCTAGTTTGATTTTTCTCCTTCAGAACAACTTTACATAAATTCATCTTGGAAAAATGTCATCTTTGAAGACACCTTTTCTACTGAGAGCTTACTCTACATATTTACATTGCAACTAGAGTAGAAGTCAATTTTATTCAACTGGAGAAAACCAACAACTTACAGACATTTTGGTTTTGGTTTTTTTTTAACTTTCAAGTTGGTAAATTACATTCAATGTACAAAACAATAGTTAATCAGTTAAAAAAAGCACATTAAATGCATGAAGAAAAATGAACACAAGAGATAAAACAGTATGAAATATGCAAGGTATGTATCATCTGGTTTGACAAAACAGTGTCTATATCCATTTAAGCAATGACTCAGATCGTTACAGAAGATGTAAAGATCACAACCTATACAATTATTTTTAGCTAAAAGTTCTATTTGGTACAGAAGGATAATAATAGAAAACACTACAGAAACACTATAGAAAAAAATTCAGATAGACAAATGAATACTGCACAAACAATATACAATGAAGCTGTACAACAATCTACAATGGATTAACTGCGTAAGTAGACAAGGGAAGAGCTATGGATGTCAACTATCTGGATTTCTGCAAGGTCTTTGACACAGACCGCCCCAAAATCCTTCTCTCTAAGTTGGACAGGTATGGATTTGATGGGTGGACTGTTCAGTGGATAAGGAATTGGCTGGACGGTCACATCCAGAGATTAGTGGTCAACAACTTGATGCCTAGATGGAAGACAAGTGGTGTCCCTCAAGGGTCCATACTGGGACCAGTGCTGTTTAGTACCTTCATTAATGCTATTGATGCTATTCACTGATCAAAGACAAGAGGGAAGAAAGCTAAGATTTTGATCACAAATCTCAAATTGGTAAACTGTCCTATCTGTCACACTATACATATCTGCCAATCCTGCACTTCAAAGCAGAAGGTTTCTAAAATAGTTCCACTAATACTCCTTAATACATGCAGGTTTTTTCCCCATAGCACATATTCCAGTTAAATACCGTCTTTAATCTTTTATCTTATCTCTGGCCCATGCTTTAGCAAGTTAACTATTACTGGGAGCTTTTGAGTAAAAGACTAATCATCATGCTTCATTTTTAACAGACATTTTCGTTTTCAAACTGTATTCCCTCAAATTCACATAAGAATCTACAACATTTTTACATAGACTATTATTGTAGAATGTCTTAATACAAGATACAGTAAATAATGCAGTTGCTCGAATTTCAGTTCTTGTTAACTGCCACTGGCAAAAAGCTATAGCTTT